TTTTTTTTTTTTTTTTTTTTTTTTTTTTTTTTTTTTTTTTTTGCACACGGTGGGAAATCTTTTTTGTTTTGTATTGATCTGTGTTGGTGGCGCTGTGGTGCTCCTAAACAATTTATGTTCGTTTCACCAAGGAAAGGAGGGGGGAGCAGAGAAAGGTGGGGCAAGATTTGATCCATTGTATAATTTATTCTTTTCTTCTGGTGAAATACAACTTAATATCACATTGCATATAGTTGTGTGAGTGTGTATATATGTTATGTATTAAAATCTATAAATGTGAAGTACAGTGTACACCATAACAGACATGTCGTCACAGTCCTTTGTTGTTCTGTAAGACTAGAGGCAGGGTTTGGATCTTTTTCCTTGCTTAAAAATATCTTCCTAAGGTATGTGGAAAAACTGTGCCATTATTTAATACTGTTTCCACTACTGCTCCAAAGTAGTTTTTATAATGCTTAAGCAGAATTCTGTTGAAGTCTTGTTATACGATTTTACTGTGTATAAATTATTTTCATATCATAAGTATTTTCAAATTGCTGGCTTAGTCATGAAACCTTGCACCCTTGTTTGAAAGAGTAACTGTTAGATGAACAAAATTTTGGGATTCGGCCCTTTCTTTACAGTATTGTGTATTTTAGGGATAGTTTACAGATCGTCATATTTTTATTCAGATTTATTGTATAAGCATGGAAATTAAGACTAACAAGATTAATATGCTTAAATTGCCAAGTATTCTTCTAACTATCGCAAGTGTTATACACACCTACACATTACACACACACAGACCACATATATATGTGTGTGTATAATGTCCCCTGCAAACCTCTTTATATATAAACAAAAAGTGAGCAATGTGATGCAAAGATGGCTGGGAAGATGTACTTGCAACATGCTAAAATTATCAAATAAAAGGCCTTAGCTTATAAATGCATAGTTTTGAAATGATCAAAATATCCTAGAAAACGCAACAGGTTAAGGGAACCATTAAAGTATTGTAAAGGAATGTTATATTTTTCTGTCTTTAGGAGTTCCTTTAGGAAGTCCTTTGTATGAGTGACTTATTTATATAATTCCATGGCACACACATTTAAACACAGAAATCGTAGAAGGCATTGCTTTTGAGTGTATTGTACAGAAATATTTCTAATTCACACTTCAAGATAATCCTTTCTTGTTGGAACAACATTTTTTGGCAAGGAATTTGATGCTGCAGAATATATATATGAAGATTTCAAAGTAAATGTGCTTAATAAAAGTCAAATCTTAAAATATGAAGGTAATTGAGTTTTAATAGCCTATTAAAAATGTCTGCATTAGAATCTAAGATTTTAAAAATGGTCCAGCCAAGGGCAGATTAGCAGCAGAAAATGTTTTCACTGGTTATGGGCCTCACTATGTAACAATGGTTATTTGAAAAGGCCAATCATGGATGTTCTCTTGCAGATCTAGGAATGCAACTCATGCAGTCTCCATCTCAATAGAATGTGGCAGTGCAGCACATGATTGCACCACACAGTGTTACAGGCGCTTTGATACATGGGTGCAGTCCCTGACGCCTTGTGCGTACAGCTGCTGTGAAGGAAGAGCTATATGAATATGCCATACTTGGTTCTGGTAAATCAGTTGTTACCCATATTTAAGTAAACAATAGTGTTTACTCTCTACCCATGAGCCCTATCTGCATTCTCATAGTCTTCATATCTATTTGCCCACAGTAGTAAAATGTTTAATAAGACAGAATGTTGATGGTGGTCACACTTGTGTCCCTATTCTTTCTTCAAAGAGAAGTATACAGGGGCAATCCATAACTCAGTGTAGCCTTCCTCGGCCTCATGAGTTCCAGAAGTTTTGGACTACAACACCCACCATTCATGACCATTGATCACCTTGTGGCTGGTGGGAATTGACACCAGAAACATTTGGCGGGCAGTAGTTTGGAGAAAGTTGACTTAGTGGTAGAACACATGTTTTGCATTTCTTAAGTTCCTGCTACCACCAGGCATGCTACTCTCTGGTAGCAGGCCTGGTAAACATCTAGAACATAGACTCCAGACATTCTAGCCAAGTAGGGGGCTCTTGGTGAAAAGCAACCTGTATTATTTAGTTCTTATTCAGATCATTAAATCAGGCACTGCTGGGTGATTCTCCATGCTATTTCCTAGTATTCATGGCTGTGCCTCTTTTAATATGAACAAATATGAAACTACTGTTAGTAGGCCCAATGCTAATACTGATACGATGTATTGCCGTAGGTCTCCTTTTTGATGGAATAGCAGTTACCAAATAGTATGGGCTCTTTGAGCAAAGCTAGAGGTCTGTTTTACTATTCATGAAAAAAGGCTCATACAGTTTATACAACTGGCAAGTTTTATAATATACAGAGAACTTGCAAATAAATCTATAAATTACTATCAGTTTTTATTATGAATAGTTGGGCTCTATGAGGTTCTGCACAAAAATGTTATTGACATGGTTTCTACACTAGTGAACAAAGAGAGGAGATTGTTAGACTGACAATGCGTAGTAAAGATGAGGAAAGGGACATTGTAAGCCTAGGACAGTTGAATTGATTTAAAGGTAATGCTAGTATCTTTCTGAAAGATGCTGTGTGGGCTTTTCCAAGCAGAGAGAGAAATGACAGATGACCTGAATGAGGTAACATCACATAGGACCCCAACGTGAATGAATTTGTGTGGAACAAAACTGTAAAGAATGCTATGTAAAAGAAAAGAGATAGTCAAGAGCAGTAAAATGGCAAGCTATTGGAGGAGGGCTAAATGCTGATTAAAAGCATGTTAGTCTATGATTTTGAAAAAAGAGGTGACCTTGATGACAAATATTAATTTAATGCAGATACTCTGAATGAAAATAACTGCAGAAAGAAAGAACAGGAAGTGGAGGATTCAGCAATCTAGTCAAGAAGTTGCCTGGGGGAGAGTACCATATAAGATAGGGGTTGTTGTGGCTCAGGCTTGGACCCTGTTCATCTGAATAACCACAAAACAGTCTAGGATTATGGTATAGGGCTTGTAATCAGAAGGTGTGACTCCAGCTCACTGTGAGGGTATTGAGCCCTCATATTCTTTTTTCTTGGAAAGTAAATCTTTGACTAAGGCATGGATGAGAGTTACATGCTATTATGTATAGTACATACTGTGTTCTTGATGATTAAATTGCATAATCCTATATCTTTCCTCCAAATCATCTTGTATGGTAAGAAGCTACAATGATCTCTGCTACTATTTCTGAAGATGAACTGGTTCTAGATAATGGTGAGTGTTTGTGGTCTGAATTGATGCACATCTTAGTTCAGAAGATGCTTTTATGTAATGCTTGTGCTGACAAAACTGACACATTTCATCTAGTGTGAGGCATATAACATAAAATTGGCAAGAAAGTAAGCATCTTAAGGCTTCCTAATCTATATTAAAAATGGCTGGTCGCAGATATCTCTTAAGTATGTACAAACAGAAGATCCATCTTTGCACATTCTCTCACATTGTTTAGTAGCCAGAGGATTAACTGGCACCCTTGGTATAGATTTCTATCCCATGGTCATTTTGACTAATCTTACTGGGTGATTTAACTGAGCTACTCATTGTTAACTTACAAGAGGAGAAATTAGTTCTGTTCACATTTCTTCCATTAATGTAACTCATGTGTTTGTCACTATGATTTGAGTCTAAACTGAAGAGCCTTACAGTACAATTTTATACATGTCTACTCAGAAGTAAACTACATTGCAATGGGACTTGCTTCCAGGTAAGTGTGTGAAGAATTGCAACCTTTGATTTCTTGTGCACAATGCTATTATACAGGAAGCATATGGACATTTCTGGTTTCTCTGGCATATCTCTGTATACATTTTCAGCAAATGTGCAGAGATGACTGAAGGGGACAAATCAGACTCTCAAGCCCTGTGAAATTCTTCTACCTGGAGACTGACTGTGCGTGTTGCCTTGTGTCCTAGTGACTGGTACCTACTAACATAGAACATCATTTCATTCCTTAAGCACTTGGCTACATGAGATAATTATATGTCTCTTTATAGTCTGCTTCATCCAAACTACCTTGAATAATTTTGTATTGTCTTCAAGATGGCTGCAAATGCTGAAGGAAAATAATCCATCTGTTCATATTCAAGGAGTCTCTGGTTTTCATGTGTGTTTTCAAGTAAATAAGTTAAAATAAGAATGTCAACTT